ATTTCAGGGCATATAGAGGAAAAGAAAAAATGTTCTGCAAGTTCTAAAAATCTGTAATGGCACTAGTCAAAATACAAGTATCTGTATTACACTGTTTGTTTGAAAACCCAATTCTGTATGAGATGTAATTAATCTGTGAATATATAAGTAGGGGGTTGATTACGAAGTAATTAAGAGATCACCTTTAGTTCCCCTTTCCCAGCTGCTGCCAATCTGTTTAGGTTTATCTTCCAGAGTTTTCTTTCTTTTTTTCCCTCTCTCTTACACTAGCTTTCTTTACTGCTTTGAAGAGCAGTGTTCTTTCTGAAACTGGAGCATCTAATTGCTTCTTGTTAGGCCAACTCGTAAAACTGTATTGTGGACAACCAGCTACTGTTGGACCTTCTGTAGGCTGTTGCAGTATTAGGGGATTATTGTCAGATATATGGAGTCCAATTGTGGTTGCAGATTGTGCAAATTTTACTTGTACGATTGATTTGTTTTCATATATCTGGTTGTGTAACTGTTTGCTAGGAGAGATACTTTGACTGTCATTGCTAATATTTTTTGTTCTTTTAATGTGTTGTTTGCATCTGGAAAAAAAAATCTTTTAGCTTTTGTCCAGGTAAAAATAATTTTGTTATTTTAAAAAAATCTTCTAGTTAATATTTATCTTGGTTTGTTTTTTTTTTTCTTCTTTTTTTTTTTTTTTTCCCCTTATCTCAGGAATACCAAGAAACAGCAGAGAAAAACAAGGAAAAAATTAGTGTCCTTGAAAAAAGACAGGAGAAATTGACCCTTGAAAATGTTTCAGTGAAAAATACATTAATGCAGGTTCAGAAGGAGCATTCATCTCTCCTGGCAGCCTGTGCACTATTGGCAGGTGCCCTGTATCCTCTTTATGGCCGATTATGTGCTATGTCTTCCCAAAAAGACCTTCTCCAAAATCAGGTCAACATTTATGAATTAGTGAACCAGGAGATTAGAACCCTAGTTCATGCTCTCTCTGATGTAGAGGAAAAGAATCAAGATGAAGAAAAACTGAAGAAAAGAAAATTCAGGGGACTTATTTGTGTATTCCGAAGATGTGTGATTGCAGTTTTGGCAGTTAACAGACTTAAAATTTTAGCCCAGTATTCTAGTACCCTCTTCTCCTGGGTAAGCAGCTTCAAAGAAGGAATTGGACTTCTAGTTTGTATAGGAGACTCCAAAGGCAAACATAATCTGTCAAGTAAGCTAATTATTTTCTTCTTTGATAATTGTTATGTCAGATTACATGGTTAGTGAATAACAAACAGTAATGTTATTATTAATAGAGTGTAGACCAATTTAGTGTAATTTTGTAATTTCTGCACTTGTGATTTCTGGATTTCTTGACAAATGTAATTTCCCCTAAAAGAAATACTTAATCTGTGAAGCATTGAAAGAGATGTTACAACTACACATGTAAACTCATAGTGCCAAAAGTTTTCTGTTTTAGGTGTTCTGGAAGCATATTTAGTACAGTCTAAATTGTCCTGAAAGAAGGGTTAGTTTGTGGTTTATGTAATTAGTTTTGTTAATTTCTGAAAGAGCTGGAGATAGTAGTGTGCGTTATCTAAGTTATTTAGTTTTATTACTAGTTACAATGCTGTTTCACAGGTCATGAAGAGGAACACGTTCTCTGTGTTGAAGCACTCAGCTGGTTTACTAGTTCCAACCTCCTTGCTGCAATAATCAGTTCTGTTGATGAATTATTGGATGTTGTCAACAAAACAGGTAATTTTAAAAGTATATTCTTGTAGTAGATTTGTAGTAGAAGATAAATAATCAGGGTGGTCACATAATTTCAATTTTTAGGATTTTATCGAAAGTATTCTGGATCAAATCTCTGAAGAGCTGTCTTGTTGGAACAGATTAGTTGTTGATACGGTACTTTATCATTTTGTTATATAGAGTCATGGAAACAGAAGGCTGGAGAGTGCTTTTACAAAGCATATGAACAGTTTTGTCTGCTTTGTTATGAGACAGAAAAAGAATGTCTGCACCACACCAACAGATATTTGGCTAACCTGTTCTTAAAAGCTTACAATGAAGTAATATTTACAACCTTCCTAGTTATCTTGTTCCCCTGTTCTAATGTTCAAAAACTACCTTACTGAGGCTCAACCTAAATTTTTTCCATAGAGAAATTTCTCACTGTTTGATCTGTTTATTTCGTAAATGTGGGCCCTAAAACTGGCACATATTCAACCTGGGACATTACTGCTGTGGACTGAAAGGAAATAATTTCCTAATGTGTTTCAAATTATATGAATCTAGATTTTCCAAGTTGCTGGCATCTGGTAAACAACTGAAATTGATGGATGCTGTTTTCATCTGATTTACTTGCTACCTTGTGGTTTTTGAGAGATAAATAAAATGCTCTCTGTTTACACAATGTATAACAGTCCATATTTTATGTCCCTACTGTGTTCCCTCTCTAAGTACATGCTTAATTAGATTTGTGTCTAGATTCCCTAGTTTTCCTCAATCTTTCCTCGTGTGGAATTCAACTATCCCATGGAAAATTTTAGTGCCAGTCTCCAGAAACATCACCTCTTGATTCCCAGCTGTTAAATATCTTCTTTAATTTCTTTGCAGTGAGGACTGACACAAGAACTCACTTGGTTCTTCTGCATTGCTATCATCCTTAGTTCTTTGGTACTTGCTAGTTTCGAAGTTCTAACAATTCTGACACAGAGTAAAGGATATTAAAAGAAGGATCATTCATACACATAAAGGGAAAATAGCAGGACAGAGAGAAGGTGATACATTTTCTAGAAGCCTGAAGAGTAAACTGGCTGAAGAAGTCAGCCATTGAATCAAAAGTGTTTTGATTCAGTGTCAGATGCTCTCTTCTTTGATCATCCTGTTTTCGGTAACTTAAATTCACATCGTTAGAAAACAATGTTTGAACTGTGTTTCAGAATATTTGCTGGGTTTACAGTGCAAGTGTTCCTGTGTATAGAGTCTTGAGTAAGAAGAGCAAATTGAAAAGGAATCATGAGATGTACTTGAAGTGACTAGTACTGAAGTGACTAGCTAGAATACCCTAAACCTCATGATATTTTACTGGTATTGACATATATGAGAATTCTGATGGACTCTATTTACTTGATATCTCTGCACTCAACACAGTTTTGATTTTGAGAACCAGGAAAAGCCATGCTGACAATGTGATTCTTTCATAGTTTATCTCTATTTTAAGTCATTTTCACAGAACCTCAAGATATAACTGCTCATGCATTACTTGGAATTCTGTTGCTCATGATATCTCCCAAGAACCTTTGGTTCAAAAAACAGTAATAAATAATTTAAAGTTGGATATGAAATTTCCAGAAGTATTGAAGTGATGACTCTGAAGGAATATGTTTGAAAGAAGGCTTGCATACTTAAGAAATTATTTTATGTTCTTTAAGTCATATTTCAAATAGGATTTAAACCTTCAAACTGACTTAAATTGTTTCGAATTTTTTTTAAGGTAAATAGGCAATCTGAGACGCATCTTCTCTCTTCAGATTTTGAAATAATGGCCAGTTCCAGATTAGACTGCACATCATAGGGGAGAGTAGGCACAAGAAGGTGCTATGTGGATCTGCAATATGGAATCGTTCGGTGTCTTAAAAATCACTTTTAAAGATGGCTAGGTTCTGAGGAACCATTTGAGGCAGTGGAAAGAAACCGACTCCAGATCACACAGATAATAGTAGAACTTTTGGGCTTGCGTGCTCTGGTGATTTGTGGCACATTTCTTGAGCTTTTAACTTTTAAAAAAGTGATTTTGATTTGATTCATGATCATTTCCCTTTTCACTGTTCATTAGTTTGCTTCTCATTCCAGCGTGCCTTGGAATGATCTCTTAGCTTCAGTCTGAAGTTCATTAAAGTGTTGCAGTTGTTTGGCTTGGTTTGGTTTTTTGTGAGGTTGGTTTTGTAGGTTTGCTTGAGCAGAGTCTGTACTGCAATAAACCAGAGAAAGTAAAGGTCAAGCTTTTTTAGTACAAATATCATCAACTGTTACATACACAAAGCTTTTGAAGCTTAGCATGAAAATTTTGGTCTTGTGTAGTACTACTCAGTTCATCCTGCTGACTGTTCTATTTCACCAAAATACAGTAAACAAAAATGCTTTCTTCCATCTCTCAGTGAAGTCAGATTTGTCACTTTCCATTGTCTTTTTCTTCATTTGTTTAATGCAAGAATTAATTGCTCTTTGTGATTTACCTGTATTTGTGTTAATTTCTTATACACATCACAAGGTACATAATTTAATGCTTTTATTGTAATTCCTTGATCCTTCATGGGCGGGTACTTAAAATGTGTATACTTAAACAGTATATTCTCTCCCTAATGATAATAGATATAGTTCATTGTGGAATTGTGTTATATTCTAATTCAGTCTCTCAAAGCAGTCAGTAACTTGAATGTTTCTGTGTATTTACTCCAAACTGCTCTTCACAAAAAAAGTAAACAGAGGTGATGGTTTGCTTTTTTTATTCCCCATCCTAAGAAAGTGCATTAAGTTGGGGATGCTGACCTGTACTGAATAACAGGAATCCTGGTTATGAAGTGCAATGATAGCTTCAAAATGCTACAACACAGTTGTTAAATTGGGGGTTCTAGACATAGGGAAAGGGGCTGCCATCCTACGTACTGCACATATGGAGAAATACTGTGTTTTCCGGCAGGCAAACAATTTCATGTAAAATGAGATACCAGATGGAAATAATAGGAAAAATGAAGCTCATTGACAGTATCCTTGTTTTGATATTTACCAAAAATCAGGCAAAGGAGAATTTTTTAGAAGGCTTTGGTATGATATTACATGGAAGGCAATATAAATGTTCTAGTTTTAATTTTAGGTTAGTTTAACTAAACATTCAAACTATGAATGCATCACAACTGGAGAAAAGAGATGGTCTTTTGATACTGAAAGACAGGTAGGACAGGAAAATCTGTGGTATGAGTAAAATGATCATGATAGTGTTTTTATGTGATCAGGAGTAGAGAACCAACATAAGGAAAAGAGGGGAGCCTTATCCAAAGTAGACAGAACATTACAACAGCAGTTTCTTCTGCATATGAGAAAAGTAATTTTTTTATTTCAAAGGATGTTTTGTTAGTTGAAGTGCAAGATAAAAATGCTGGATAAGATTTTTAGCTTTAAAGAGGAATAGAAAGATGCTGTCTTAGACATGAAGACGATGACATCTTATACATCCCTGGTCCTCATGGGGGATTTCAACCACCCTGATATCTATTGGAAGAACAGCACAGCTTAGGCAGGCCAGGAAGTTCCTGGAACGTGTTGATGACAACTTCCTTCTCCAAGACATAGAGGAACCAAAAAGGAGAGGGGCTATGCTGGACCTTGTTCTCACCAACAAGGAAGTGCTGGTGGGTAATGTGGAACTCAGGGGCAGCCTGGGATGCAGTTACCATGAGTTGGTGGAGTTCAAGATCCTCAGAAGTGTGAACTTCGGCCTCTTCAGGGATCTGCTTGGAAGAGTCCCATGGGATAAAGCCCTGGAGGGAAGAGGGGCCCAAGAAAGCTGGCTAATATTCAAGGATCACTTCCTCCAGGCTCAGGGGTGATGCGTCCCAACAGAGGGGAAGTCAGGCAGAAATGCCAGGAGGCCTGCATGGATGAACAAGGAACTCCTGAGCAAACTCAAACAACAAAAGGAAGCATACAGAAGGTGGAAGCAAGGACAGGTAGCCTGGGAGGAATACAGAGAAACTGTCCGTGAAGCCAGAGATCAGGTTAGGAAAGCTAAAGCCCTAATAGAATTAGATCTGGCTGAGGACATTAAGGGTAACACAAAGAACTTCCATAGGTATGTGAGTGATAAAAGGAGGACTAGGGAAAAAATGGCCCCCCTCCAGAAGGAAGCAGGAGACCTGTCTACCCAGGATATTGAGAAGGCTGAGGTACTTAACAAGTTCTTTACCCCAGTCTTCACTGGCAAGAGCTCGAGCCACACTGCCCAAGTTGCAGAAGGCAAAGGCAGTGACTGGGAGAAGGAAGAACTGCCAGCTGTAGGAGAAGATCAGGTTCGAGACCATCTAAAGAACCTGAATAATGCACAAGTCCATGAGACCTTATGAGATACATTGGTAGGTTCTGAGGGAACTGTCAGATCAAGTTGCCAAACCACTGTCCATCATATTTGAGAAGTCGTGGCACTTGACCCGCAGACTGGAAAAGGAGAAACATAACCCGCATTTTTAAACAAGGGAATAAGGAAGACTCAGAAAAATACAGCTTGGTCAGTCTCACCTCTGTGCTTGGCAAGATCATGGAGCAAATCCTCCTGGAATCTATACTGAGGCACATGGAAAACAAGGAGGTGACTGGTGACAACCAGCACAGCTTCACGAAGGGCAGATTGTGCCTGACAAATTTGGTGGCCTTCCGTGACGGGGCCACAGCACGGGTGGATAAGGGAAGGGCAACTGACATAATCTACCTGGACTTGTGCAAAGCCTTTGACACAGTCCCACATGACATCTTTGTCTCTAAGTTGGAGGGACATGGATTTGACGGAAGGACCACTTGCTGGATAAGGGATTGGCTGTATGGCCGCACTCAAAGAGTTCTGGTCAATGGCTCAATGTCCAAGTGGAGACCAGTGACAAGTGGTGTTCTGGAGGGCTAGGTACTGAGACTGATATTGTGTAACATCTTTGTTGGGGATATTGACAGTGGGATTGAGTGCACCCTCAGCAAGTTTGCAGACGACATCAAGCTGTGTGGTGTGGCAGACACCATCCAGAAGGTGATGGGAAGGGATGCTATCCAGAGGGACCTTGACAGGCTTGAGAGGTGGGCCAAAGCAAACCTCATGAAGTTCAACATGGCCAAGTGCAAGGTCTTGCATGTGGGTTAAGGCAATCCAAGCACAAATACAGGCTGGGGGGGGTGAATGGACTGAGAGCAGCTCTGAGGAAAAGGACTTGGGGGTGTTGGTTGATAAGAAGCTCAACATGAGCCAGCAATATGAGTTTGCAGCCCAGAAAGCCAACCGTGTCCTGGGCTGCATCAAAAGAAGCATTAGCAGCAGGTCGAAGGAGGTGATTCTCCGCCTCTACTCTGTTCTCATGAGACCCCACCTGGAGTACTGTGTTCAGCTGTGGGGCCCCCAACATAAAAAAGACATGGACCTGTTGGAGAGAGTCCAGAGGAAAGCCACAAAGATGGTCAGAGGGCTGGAGCACCTCCCCTATGAGGACAGGCTCAGGCTGAAAGAGTAGGGGTTGTTCAGCCTGGAGAGGAGAAGGCTCCAGGGAGACCTTGTAGCAGCCTACTAGTACCCAAAGGGGGCCTACAGGAGGTGTAGGGGAACACTCTTTATCAGGGAGTGTAGTGACAGGACAAGGGATGACAGTTATAAGCTGAAAGTGGGCAGTTTTAGACTAGATATTAGGAAGAAATTTTTTGCTGTGAGGGTGGTGAGACACTGGAACACGTTGCCCAGGGAAGCTCTGGATGCCCCATCCCTGGAGTTGTTCAAGGCCAGGCTGGATGAGGCTTTGAGCAACCTGGTCTAGTGGAGGGTGTCCTTGCCCATAGCAGGGGGGTTGGAACTCGATGATCTTTAAGGTCCTTTCCAACCCGAACTGTTCTATGATTCTAAGAAGCAACACTACTAGGTGGGGTTATGGAGAGCGTGTATTCAAGAATGGTACTCAAGTTAAGCACTGGAATCATTGGAATGATAGTATTTTGAAACCAAGCAGGTGAACAGCTGTGAAAAAAAAATTATTTTATTTTATCATCTGCCTTTTTTTTTTGTTTGTTTGCTTACAGATAATTTTTGTCTCCTGTGTAAATGATAAATTCTTTATGGTGAGAATTATAATCTTAAAAATATCAATAATCATGTTTTGTTTGCTTTGAACTTTTGGCTTTTTCCTTGCAGTGTATTGAAAATTCTTTAATTTAAAAAAGCTATGGTTATTTTTTTGATGTTTATACTCTTAAGTAAAAATTCACAGCAGCAACAGGAGATCTGCTGTATGTAAATAGGCTCTTCCATGCTTGTCATCTTATGCTGATAGTATCATAAGACAAGTAATGACAGATTAAGACCTGCCTAGCAGAGGGAAAACTAAATTACAAGACTTTTATTAAGGCATAAATAAACCTATTAACTGTTATCTGGAATACCAATTAGTGGAAGGAGCCCTGACAATTTTATTTATCAACATTAAACACAATTATTAATTACAGACCTGACGAATCTAGCAGTAAGCAGGACATGTTGGGTGTGCTGGGGCCTTAAGTCCATTATATGAGAAGGATGATTACCAAAATCCTGTGGGGAAATAAGTAATTGTAGCTGTAAAATTTTAATTGCCTTGGAATAAGGTAAATTATATTCTCTTGTCTCAGAATATAAATAGTATGGCATTAAGGTACCAAGCCTCACTAATTTTGAACAGCAAATAATGTAGACATCTATAGAGGGGAGTGAAGAGGAGTCAGGAAAACCTCACAAATTTGCATTGTAAATATTGTGATAAAGTGATTTACCATGTGCTATCACATCTGACATACTTGACCTGGCTTGCATGTGCTTGCATCCATCTTATATGTTTTCTGAATTAGAAAATTAGAACACTGAAGAAAGACTTAAATACAGTATTGGAGGAGAACACAAGAACAGTTAGAAAATTATTCTTTGAGAAACAAATCCTATTCTTTAGAATCCTATCCTAGCCTTCCATCCAAAGATTGATAGGAGCAGCGTGTTCGTTGCTAAATACAAGATCTGTCCCAAAGTCTCTCTGAGGTATTCCTGTGAGCTCAGTCTCTCACCCTTTAGTGGAAATTGCCTGCTGAGTATTTTAAACCTGCTATTAGTTGTTGCTTTTTTCAACTGAAAAAAAGGAAACTAGCAACCTACTTGATGTTTCTTTTTTGTTGTTTTTAAGATAAAGATCCAAAGCGCTGGTTTTCTGGATGCTTACTTGTAAGTGCAGCCAGGAACTCCTTTTCAAAACTTATGGACAAACTGAATGTAATAATGGAGCCAGTTCCGCTAGACAGCAGCAGGAGCATTACTTATCTGGAGAAAGACTTCTTGGTACAGAGGCTGGCTCATGGACTTCATGAAATAAATAACCAGGCCCTGGAAGCTGGACTGTGTGTCAGACTGCCCATTATGGTATGCATATTTATACTGCTACTTCATGTGAACAGTAGGTTCACAAGATAAGTGTTACAGTGAAGCTCTCTTGATACTACCATTAATTTTGTTTCATATTGTTTATGAGTCCATTACATTGAGGTCAACTATATAGAGACTCAGAAGTTGATTTCGAACACCCAAAAGCATTAGGTTGTGAATAGATCTTTTCTTTTGTTGTCAAGAAATTTTAAGAAGAATTTGATGTATCCAACTAAGAGATTTGTTTTTTGAAGTTCTGTCAAAATTGTATTTACTTTGTAAGAAAAAGCTTGCTTTTGACTTTAACTAAATGTTAAGGGTTGGGGGGGGGGTGTTTGTTTTTTTTCTTTTTTCTCTTGCATGCTGTTCTATCCTTCAGAAAAGATAACCTTATTTTCTTTAACTGAAATGAAAGAATAAACTCTTTCTCATATAGTATGTCTTCTTTTGTGAGCCTTACATGAAAACGGGTGCTTCCTTGAAAACAGAATTTTCAGTAACCCTCAACAGGAGGTGAAACAGGTTCATATTTTTGCACTTGTGTGTGTAGGACAGAATGACAGCTTTGTCTAATTTGCTTAGCTATTAAATGTGATTTTGTTGCTGAAATAGCACATCTTACAGCATGTGAATTTGTTTCTGTTTACTAACAGAAAAGTATAGCACACTTGCAGACGCAAATATTTGAATTTACACAAAGACTTCATACAGCAGAGGTGGAACGGCGCTCACTACGCCTAAAACTTGCAGAATTCAAATGGAATTTCAGTGAGATGAAAAAAGAAGCTGACAAAGCCCAGAGCCTGCAAGAGCAATTAAATATATTTAAGCAATCTGTAAGTATATTTGATTTAGAGGAGACTCCTTACGAGAGATCCTCCTTTTTACACATTCATTGATTTGTGTTCCTTTGAAAAACAATAATAAAATTCATCTGTTATTAACAGAATTTTCCAGAAGACTTTTGTTGTAAATGTCACTGAACTATAAGTCAGATTCATATAGCAGTATCTCCTTTACTCAGGAATTTCTTTGATTTGTAGAATGAGGTATTCTGTGTAAAATACATCTTTGGTCTTGAGCAATCCAGGTTTTCTTCCATATGTTGAAATTTTTGGTGTGATTTATATACCCTGAAAGGATTTATAGATTTCACTTCAGCAGAGGAAAGTCAGCTGGAATGAGGTATCCAGTAACTGTGTTCACGAGAAGATCATAAAGCATAAATGTAGTATTTTAAGCTCTGCATGGATATTGCTGAATATTATGATAGACGTCTTACTGTATCTTTGAGTATAGTTATCCTGAGCTAGTCAGTGCAAATTTTAGTGTGGCTGTTTCCTTGAAGGAGTAAGTTTATGGTAAGGAAAAAAAAAAGCCGCCTTCTACATTCTCAGTAGCACATACGCGCTATATTCCTCTGACCCTTTGCTGTTCCTGAGCAATTTACTTAAACACTATGGTTCACTAAAATAGCACTGTGTGGAAGGAATGAGAAGAGACAACACAAAGGTTCCTTAACCACTTGAAGCCGCAGAATAGCAGGTAATGGACATGGTGTTTCACGGAGTGATGCCATTTTATAGGTTGTTGGTGTGTTCTTTGCCATACCCTTGGAACTGTGCCTTCAGTCCTTATTGGAGGGGAAGAAACTTGTCTTGCTTTAGCATGCTGGAGGTTCACTGGGCCCCTTTCCTCATATGCTTATTTTCTATAGGTTGCATTCAGAATTGAGCTCACATTTGAGCTATCTGAGAAAGTGAATGGGTAGGGATTCTTATACATACTTTACAGATGCACAGTATATCTGAAATAGTCATGTCCCAGAATGAGCAGCGCTTTCTGTAGCTGTGCCCAATGTTGATCCTGAGGCCTAGTTAGTAGACCTGTCAGTGTGTCCCAATCAAAATACTTCCAAGCACAGAATATTTAATAGGTGATTTCACATCCATTCTCCTTTCTGTTCATAGCTGGTAAAATGCTTTCTTTAACTCAAATGGACAAGGTTGTATTTAGTAATCTTCAGTTTTGTTCTTAATGGGTTTTATTCCCTTACAGTTCTGGGACAGTTAGATGTAATTGTCACATTTTACGTTGCTGTTCAAATGTAGAAGATTATTTTCCTTGAAGAATTATTTCTTGAACATTTTGGGGAGGGGAGAAAGAGTCGAGGAAGACGTTTACAAGGGTTATTAAGATATACAGTGAAATATGGGACATTGATCTGCATATTTCTTTCTAAATATTGATTCTTTGCAACCTGGGTGCTAATTTGAATAGAATAATGAATGCATACTGTTTACAGTACCCTGAATGCTTTTTTGAAAAGATACAGTGAATAAAGTTGTTTGCCATTCTGTTGTTCGGTAATCTGTCTTCGTGTTAAAAACCCTAAATCCTCGTTTCTAGCACACTTTTGTTTTGGAATTTGATGTGTTTGCAAGTGAAACTCTGAAAGTTGAGTATGTAAACAAGTGAATACAGTTATATAATCAAACACAATTTGTTTCCCCTATCAGAAATTGATCACCCATGAGAAGTTTGAAAGCGCATGTGAAGAACTGAATAATGCATTACATCGGGAGCATCAGGCACAGGTGCTTTTGAATGAACAGGCGCAACAGCTACAGGAGTTAAACAGTAAACTAGAATTGCACTCCAGTGAAGAAGCAGATAAAAACCAACTGTTAAGTGAAACTATAAAGGTAAGACGATTATCCTTCTAAAATAGGCACTAGAAATTTACCTTTTGGGGATAAGCCAAATCCTGCATTTCTTGTGCAGATAAAATTATAGGAGTAAATGTACACATACAACTCTGTCTACTGGAATTTTATGGTACTCAGAAAACACTTCCAAAATGACACTTCAAGGTATAACTTCCCTTTTCTGCTTTTGGAACTAGGCAGTGTACACCAGTATCTGTAACCTGTACAATGTCTGGATTTTACATGATACATAAGAGACAGCAGTTCTAGCTATCACGAGGGGTTGGCAGACTATAGGAAATATGAAGGAAGAAATAGAGGAATACTTTGATTTTCAGATCATAATAATGTTTTAAAACGTGGATTAGCTGTTTCCTGAAGATAATCTTAGGGTAGAGAATGCATTTGTCAGTTTGGAATATGCTAGATGAGGATAGAGAAAGACCATTTTTCATCAGGATTTAGAATTTGCCCCAGACATAATGAGTAATGAAGGAAAAGATGTTATCAGAATCTCTGATAGCAAATCCAGGAGCAGAGAGAGAGTAAGAGGTTTGAAACCAGGTGGATAAATAACATGGGAAGAAAAGAAACCTTGTGATGGCAGGCCAGTGATGTGTGATGTCCTGAGCTCTGCAGTTTCTATTTATTTTTTATTTAAAGCAAGCTTTGCTGCTTCTGTCTGTTCTTCAGCCCTGCTACTGTCTTTCCACCTCCAAGTATTCTTCTGTGAATTGATAGTTGAGCAAAAGAGACTGCTTCACTGGTATTTTGAGAAATAGAAGCAGTTGTGATTCTGAGGAAGATTTAGGGAGGAAATGATAAGAAATGTCAGGAGGGAAGAGAATAAAAAAGATGCAAGCTGCAAAGCTAGTAGAAATGTCAGAAACCGTTCTTGAAAATATAACAGTGAAAATGGATGTCAAAGAGGATGACTTGCCGCAGAGTTGAAGTTTGAAGTGATGTACAGTGGAGGAAGCTGGAGGATGTTGCTAAATTTATTGGGGAGGGTTTTCATTAACAGTATTATTTACTGAAAATGCCTTACCTCACTCAGGGTGAAAGACAATGACATCTCCAATTTACCTGTTGAGTTTTGTTTTTCCTTCTGCCCAATCCCTAGGTTTGGGTGTTTTGTTTCAGTGTAAGAATAAACTTGTCTAATGTTTAAGTCGGGTTGCTTGTTAATTCTGTAGCTCTTTGTTTCATGTATAACTGCAGTATATATAAGCCATTAGCCTTGTGTTTGATTTCTGTGGGAAATACCTGATTCAAGATTTTTGAATGGATATTAGGGTCGTAAAGAAGGGAAGGAATAGAAGACAGCTGTTATTTGAAATCTTCATTGGGGTCTACTCTGTATAACTTAATGCATGGATTTCACCATGTTTTGCGTTATAAGTAAAACATACCTTTACATTTGTTCAGAGGAAATGAAACAAAAAGTCCACGGTAGACATTTAAAATGTAGGATGGAGTTTTAAACAAATCTATTATATGGATTATTTGATACTGAATTAGATTTCACAGCTTCTGTTTTTTATTAATTAAAAGCTAAATGGAATTTTTTTCTGACAGCAGTGATCCTAAAATTGATCCTAATTCTCCAGCCCCCTAGCAGTTGTTTGCTACTGGAACAACTTGTTTGGTGTAAAATGATTGATTACAGCTGAAAGCTGTGGAGGTGCAATATAATGTAATAATATAGCTGTTGTGGTAGGATGGAGGCTAAGAAAGTTGACAAAATAAGCTTTAGAGCTGAAACTCAACTGCTTTCAGTTACAGTGATTTGGTTTTATGAATGTATTACTCTGTAGTTCTCAATCCTTTCCATGGAGGACTTTTGAGCCATATTTAAGTTGTAGATGTTTACTGTCCCTAAACTTCTGTTTAAATACCGGAAGGTTGATGGATGTATCTTAATTCCTTCATGATATTAACTACAATAGTTAGTATAAAATTGCACTGTGGTTATATTGGCCTGTATCTGTGACTGTATCAAAGAAGGAAACGATCAGTTGTGGTAGCATGGCACCACAAAGGGCTTTTTTTTTAGTTTTTAGTTCTATGTGTTTGGGTTTTTAAAATTTAAGAAAAAGATTTTCATAAGCTTTTTCCCACCACAGTTTACCACAATCCCACTTTATTAGTGTCTTTTAAACTATTAAATAGTGCAGAAGTATGGAAAAAAGAACTGTTGCTCTGAAAAAATTATGATAGAAAAAATGTGCCTCCATCTTCATCTTAAGATATAAAACCATCTATCAGTCTAGACGAAGTACATACAAGAAGTTGGAGAATGTAGTGGTGTACAAGTGATTTTGGATGGAGTAGAGTGTAGTGGAGTAGAAAAGCTTGCTTTAAATTCTTTATTTGTAGTTTTTAAATAGCTAGGAAGGGGAAAGAAAATCTTAGTTACTTTTACTTTTGATAACTTAAACTTACCCACACTTCATCAGCAGTCAGTAAGGAGATATTTTGGAGTATTCACGTACTTCCATAAAGTAGGCTTATTAAAGGAGTAACACTTAATTTCTTAGCTTTATCGGTTCAGATTTTAATCCTGTATATTTTTATCTTCTTAATGGCATATACCATAGAGACATCCAAGATAGCAAATTACATTCAAGTCAGCTGGAGCTAAGCAACTCTTTTACACCACTGTTTTTATTAGATGAGGTAAATCAGTAGCTCCTGTCTTTGAAGAGAGACTTCTACACAGATGCTAAAGAGGCATCTATAGCAGACATAGTTTTTACTCCATATACGAGCGTGTCTTAATTCCAGTAGAATAGTTTTTCTTCCTGTTGACAGGCACTGCATGTATATTTACTTCATTTTAGATATGTTAATACCTGTTATAAAAACAGTATATTTTTAAGGTTTAATTTGTGGAGCATGTCATATAAATTGTTAATGAATAGCTCTCTGTGCATTTCAAGTACAATGTATGTTAAATCTTGTTAAACTTGCGGCTGATCTTCCTCAAAATAGTCTTCAATACATGTTTTGGAAGAAGAAATCTTGAATTTTTGGTTTATTTACTGAGTTTAGTGAAGCTACCATTGATTAAGTGAAAAAAGAATCTCATCCAAGTGCTTTAATAACAGTCTCATGAGAACATTTTCTGATGCAAAGGTTTGGAGTGTTAATTTTCACTAGCTATTTCATTTAAATCGCTATATGCATATCCTGTGTTCAGAAAGTGTAGTATCCTTTGCTAAACAGACACGTCCAAATTAGTCTGATGGAGACTGGGATTTCTAGGTTTGTTAGAAGTGGATGTTTTCCCTGAGTAGGCTTTGTGCTCTTGGTGTGGATTTTAGGTGGAGGCGGTACACAATTTGCTGCTTTTTGTTGCTTTTCCTCTTTACATTTATAGCCACATATTTTTCCTGAAAAATAATTTCAATAGTTATACAATTTATTTTATTAATCCTATTGCACACACTTTGCAAGTTAGTTTTATAGTTGGCTATTTCTGCAAGTGATGCAGTATTCTAAGTTAGAGAAAGGTTAAAAGGCCTCACTTACATGAGAAAGACCAAGTGATGCTTCTCAGAACAGCAAAGATTACAACACTGTAAGAATAGAGATAAGTTTTGGGTTTGTTTTTTTTTTTTTTAAGCTCTCTGACCTCTTAAGTTGGAAAGACTGTTAGGATTTGGGTGCGCTGAGGGATCCTGTTGATTCCCAAAACCTTATTTGTCATTTTATCAAGAAATGGCAAGTCTGTGCGTATCCTGGTTAAATTAAAGGCCGTTCTTTAAAGAAAGCAGTATAGCTGATTACCATTAGCATCTAACTTAATGGCAAATTTGTATTAATCAAGTTTAGCATGTTAAAGAGTTGCAAGCTCTCCACTGAATAGATTAGAAACTAAAGTTCTTTTTTGTTTTGTTGCCATACTCTGTATGTTCTGAACACCTAAATAATTTATGAAGTAGGTAAGAATTGATTAGCATTGCCATCTGCCCTATTCTTAGTCAAGAGGGGTCATATGTTTTCTTATTACAATAAGTTACAGGTTAAGCAGTTTTGTCATGTATTTCAGTTTGGATTAACTCTATTTGTAAAATAAGTAAACCAGCTTATTCTCCTTCTCTCTTACATAACATCCACTACTAATAACTTCTTCGATAGATAATCTTCAGCGAGTTAGATACACTGAAGACTTGCCCTGGAGCTGGTCCTTTGTGCTTTCTTGTTTAAAGATTGCAATGCATTGTACATGGAATTTAGGTATATGGGGAGGAATAGTCCTTCCAGGCTTCCTTCTAGTAGCTGCTATCTTTACATAATAGGAGAGACAAATAGAGAGCATCGTGTTGTGGACCAGACGTGAGAGCTTCTCTTCACAGAAGGAAAGAAGATGGCTGTGACCAAGTCTGCACTTCTGATATCTACAGTTAAACTTCCCCTTAAATTTCTCTCTTTTTTCTCTCTTTCGTGGTTTGTCCCTGGAGTTCATTTGTTTTATTGTCTTACAGTCTACTTTATCTTGTTTTTTAAAAATCACAAATTTGTGCATTAAATCTTCTCTTGGAGACAAGTAATGGTACTCTGTTCAGCACTTTGAAAGCAGCTCTCTGTGTTGTGGTGCGCAGCTCTCTGTGTTGTGATGCAGAGCTCTCCTTGCTTTGCTTCTCTGGTTAGCCTCTAAGATTCAGGGTCCAAGGGTTGTCCTGTTCTTTTTCCACTTTAGGGATCACCTTATTAGGAATATTGATCCCTGCATTTCATTGCTGAAGTAACTTATTTGCAGCCAGGTTGTTCGGTCTGTGTATTTCCTTTGTTCTGTGCCTGGATCATTCATCAGTATCAGCGTGAGTAGTCTGGAGGGACTGAGGTCAGTACACAGCCTTTAGAAAAGTATTGAATTTGCTCCACAATCATCAATGAAGCGACCAAGCAACTAGTAACCAAGATGTTGAAGTCTGCCTTAGCCAATGGTGTGGCATTACCATTTTGTTACTGTTTCATTCCTCTGAAGTTCC